CACTAACAGAGCAGGATTTCACAACCCTAAACCCAAAGTAGGTTTAGGAAAAGGCTTTTGGACAAGCGGCTCGGGCACTCCAACTCCGAAGAACCCAGTAGCCAAACCCAAACTTCTATGCAAAAGCCGGGGCCGCCCTAAACCCTAAACCCTAAACCCTAAAATTTAAACACTAAACCCTAAACCCTAAACCCTAACCCTAAACCCTAAAATTTAAACACTAAACCCTAAACCCTAAACCCTAAACCCTGAGCTTGGAGACATCGTTGCTGGTACAATCATGCCCCCTGAGCGTGGGCCGGCCGGTGGTCGTGCAAAGACATGACGCCTTTCGGTTTCACGTGCCGCAGCGTTTAGGGTTTCAGGGTTTAGGGTTTAAGGTTTAGGGGTTTAGGGTTTAGGGTTTAAGTTTAGGGGTTTAGGGGTTTAGGGTTTAGGGTGGTGCTTTTCATTGAGCTTGACTGCGGCGTAAGATGTCCGGCACAGCCCCTGCATCTATGCCAACGCAGTCGAGCTCGAAAACTAAACCAAGGAAGGTCAGACAGTCTTTGACAGCTAGGCTTTGCAAAAGCCCATTTGGGTTTAGGGTTTAGGGTTTAGGGTTTAGGGTTTAGGAAGCCTGGGTGAGCGTGGATTGCAACTTAACTTCCTGCGATCGCGAGAAAAGTTCGTCGTCTGTTCTGCAGATGCCTCGCTTCTAATGTTCAACGGCCGGCACGACCTCCTCAGGTCAGCTTGATTGTCGGTGTTGCGGCGCTTAGATTTGTTCCTCCAAGCATGTCTTCATGTCGCCACTTGCTCAGCTTTGTGAATACAGAAATCCTAAGAGCTGCGTGGCGGAGGTCGAAAATGTTCGTGCGTGAAGTCGGTAGATGTCTGGACTGTTGAAACAATGACTCAAGCGGCCGTGGAATGTTCTTCTTGAATACAGTTCCAGCTCATGTCAAGTTCAGCTACTGTTCGACTGCTTCAGGCTCTCGACCTGCCCATGCAGTAGTTTAGTGGTTGTCCGGAACGAGCCCAACATTCCAGGGCGCAGCCGCAAACTTGTTGGAAGCTCTCTCTTAAGCTTGAGGGCTGCTTACACCCCAAGCCCTGCTGCACAATCACAGCTCATCAAGACATCTCCTGCAAGTGTGCACAGTATTAGTCTATTCTAGTATACTACGGTAAGGACAGAAGTGTTGGCGATACTGCTTTACAACTTGGCATGCATAGCTCTTCAGAAGTTTCATTACATGCTACGGTTGATGGACAAAATCCTGCATGACCTTATATACCTAAACTATGGGGTTTATGGTACTATACTATATTTGAGTCATGCAGGATTTTGTCCATCAAAAGTATGGTCTAGCGCCCAGCATGCCGAAGCCCAGCTGGGACGGCCCGGCTCTCCCTGCACCGCGCTGAGCTGCGTCCGCAGCTCCGTCACCTGCTGTGCTTGAAGGATCATGGGACTTAGTAACTATACTTATAACTACTTATAACCCCAATTAAGGTACTTATAACCATACTTACTAAGTCCCATGATCCTCCAGGTAGGGTGAAGTAAGGAAGAAAGGTGCTGCTGTACTGCTTGACTGCTTGACAGCAATAGAGAGAGCATAAGACATCATAGTTGTAATGAAGTTTCCCTACTGCGTGTGACGAAATGTAAAGCACTTTCAGCTCACGATAAAGATACTGCAGTAGTCACAGCGACATAACCTGGTAAGAAATCACGTTGGGGAGCTGAGGTATCAGGTTTTCGCCGAGGTGATTAGAGCTATGGGTTTGTGTGAAGGGCGCAGGATAGGGGAGCAGCGTTTCGGGCTTAGGGTGGTGGCAACAATCATCATCGTCTTCGGCTGGACAAGGCATTTAGACTGACAAGAGCTGTAATGATGTTTAGACGATTCGATCATGAGCTGCAATCTGGGAGGTTTTGCACTCAGCTTCCACACATGCGCAGACACAACGCTCTGTCTATGCCACAAAGCCAAAACGCACTGAAGCCCAATGGCCCTACATCGTCAATGCCTCAACCCCTAAATTCAAGACCCGCAATCCCCAACCAAAGCCCCAAACCTTCAAACCCCGAGACCTAAACCCAAAGCAAGACCTAAACCCTAGAGCCACAAACCCAAATCCCAGTCCCTTCATACCAACCGCTTATTACAGCAACCTCTGTAGTAACCCGTGTTGACACTTTTAGTTTCCCTTCTAGTATCCCTTATAGCAACCCTTGCAGTATTCCTTCTAGCAACCCTTGCAGCAGTTCTTAAAGTAACGTTCATACCAAGCCGTATCGTAGTTCTGACGACAACCCTAAGACCCTACACCCCAAACCCTAAACCCTACACCCTAAACCCCTAAACCCTACACCCTAAACCCTACACCCTAAACCCTACACCCAAAACCCTACACCCTAAACCCACTGCACTGCCCTGCACCCTAAACCCCCAAACCCCTGAACCCCTAAACTGCATCTTTCAGAAGGCTCGAACTTCTTGCGCCTCAGCAGCTCGGCGCATCTCCGCCTGGCAAACCGGGCAAAAAGGGGTTTAGTGTTTAGGGTGTAAGGTTTAGGGTTTAGAGTTTACGGTCTGGGGTTTAGGAGTTTAGGGTAGTTCATGACGTGGGTTTGGTTTGGGTTTTAAGGTTTGGGGCTTAGAGTTTAGAGTTTTAGGGCTTGGGGTTTGCGGTTTAAGGTTTATTTGTTCGGCGCCTGCTGTACGGCTTCAGGCTTGCGGGCTCTAGGTCTCAAGCTTAAGCTTGTGAGTTAGAGTCTAACCCTAAACCTTAAACCCTAAATCCTAAACCCTAAACCCTAAACCCTAAATTAGAGTCTAGGTCGACGAGGCAGACCAACCAACCCCTCGGCCCGAACCGAGCTACAGAACTTGTAATCCCACCACTCGCCCCAAACCCTGCAACCCTGAAAGCATCCCAGGGCCTGTTGGATGCCCTCTTCCCGATCCTGCATCACCTCAAGGCGATCCTGCGGAGACACGCATTTCTTGCAGGACCCTCTGCCTGAGGATTTTGGGCAAGCCCTTTTTAGGGTTGGGGCCATGAGCGGAGGATTTCAAGCGAACGAAATAATCGGTGACGGGCGCTGGAAGCTTGAAGCCTTGGACACGGAGATGGAAGAGGCGCGTACCAAGCAGGGTCTGGCAGCACAGGTGTGTGAAGAGAAAGACTCTAAGGGGGGATAAGACTTCGAATCATTCACACTTCTATATTGTGACCCTAAACCCTAAACCCTAAACCCTCCCACAAAAGGAGAAGAAACCGAACTCCTGGCAATCCGCAGGAGTTTCAGAAACTAGTCCTTACAAACAGGGCTCCCGTGCAATCCTCACCTGCTGCTTACTTGACCATCCGATTCGGCGCGGCCCAAATACCCACAGGGTCCTAAACCCTAAACCCTAAATAAACCCCTAAACCCTAAACCCTAAGCCACAGGGTTCCGTAACCCCTCTGCGCCTGCTCAAGCTGCTGGTGCTTTGCCTGCTTGAGCACTGGAGGGGCCCACTTCCAGGCTTCATGTGGGTAATGTCAGGGTTTAGGGGTTTAGGGTTCAGGGTTTAGGGTTTAAGGGGTCAGAAAGCATTAAGGAAGCGGATTTGAAGCCACCATGCCCATCAGGAAACCCGCCTGCCGATGCATGAAGGGCGTTGGAAAACCGAAAGCTAGCCTAATATAGGGGCCTTAATAATTAGAATAAGGGGCCCATTATACTATAATTACAATAAGGAACCCCAAACTAAAACTAATATTGGCAATTATTTAGGCCCTTGTATTATTAGGTCTTTGAAGTAGGGTCCCTGGGCTGGGGTTCATCCCACATCCGAAGGCTAAAGTCGAACAGGCTGAGGCTCAAAACTCGCCAGAGACCTCGGGCCATGTTGGGGGTTTAGGGTTTAGGGCTTATAGGGTTTAGGGTTTAGGGCTTGGGGTTTAGGATTTAGGGCTTATAGGGTTTAGGGTTTAGGGTTTAGGGTTTAGGATTTCGCCCTCAGTGCCGGAAAGCCACCAAAAACCGCAACCACCTAGGCCCCCGGACCCAGAAGCCCTCAGTGCCAAACCCCCAAAACCCTTATAGACCCTAAAATCTAAAATTAGACCCCTAAACCCCAAAAAAACCCGACACTCCCTACAAACCCAAACCCTATAACCCCCAAACCCTACAAACCCAAAACCCTACAAACCCGCAACCCTATAGACCCGAAACCCTACAAACCCCATCAACCCTATAGACCCGAAACCCTAAACCCTAAACCCCAAACCCTAAACCCTTAAACCCTGAACCCTAAACCCTAAACCCCCAAACCCTTAAACCCTGAACCCGAA